TTTCTTACTTTTTGAAATCATTTTATTTACAAATTGATATATCAATAAGATATAAAAATAGAAATCGCCCTAAATAGGACTAAAACATAGAGAAAAATACTAAAATAGGACTTTCATGTTTTTTTCCCGAAATAAGACTTTGCACTGTAGTAATGTGACTTTGTCCTGTGGTAATGTGACAGTGTACATGTGCAAATTACTATACTTTTTTGGTAATGTATATGATTATGTATGGTAATGTAAGTCCTATTTCGGGAATAAAAACATGGAAGTCCTATTTTGGTATTTTTTCAATGTTTTAGTCCTACTTTGGTCTTTCTCCCATATAAAAATTACATATTAAACAACTACGTCAAAAGTTCTACAAAACAAGAACTGATAAGAATATTTTATTTTATCAAATACTTAATGAAATCGCGTAAACAAACAAAAGTTATCGAGAGGAGAAAAAAAAATTGTACTTAATTAGTACGATTTAAATACGAAAATAAAATAAAAAACTACAAAATTAATATTAATACTATACTTTAAAAACATGATTTTTTTAAAAGGTAAGTGTTCAAATTAGAAAATTAGAAAATAAATATGGAATGGTATGTCACCGCGATAAGCAAATGGTACCTTTTAAACACAAAATAAAATAAATGGTAAGTGTTCTAAAATAAATTAGTTAAGTGTTCTAAATAAATTAGAAAATAAAATAATTATTAAAACGATAAGTATTCTAAAATATATTAGAAAATAGATACGATACGGTAAATAAATGATACCATTTAAATAAAAAAATAAAATAGAAAACTACAAAATAATACTATAAATTAATACTACAATTTACAAGCATGGTAACATGTAAAAATGATAAGTGTTATTAAAATAAATTTAAAAATAAATATGGTACATTAAGCAAATGGTACCATTTAAATGCAAAAATTAAAAAATTATAAATTAATACTATTAATACTATAAGAATGGAAACATGTAACAATGGTATAAGTATTCTAAAATAAATACTATTAATACTATAATTTACAAGCATGGATACGTGTAAAAATGGTAAGTGATCTAAAATAAAATAGAAAATAAATACCATAGGGTAAGTTAATGGTACCACTTAAATACGAAAATAAAACTAAAAAAAACAAATTCCAAAATAAATACACTAATATGTTGAATTATTACTTAGATAAGTCAAATTATTGAATTATTATCAAGAACATTATCTGAAACATATTGAATTATTGTTACGGAAACTGGTATTTAGTCATGAGAAAGTGTATGTTGCAGTTTAAAGAGTAATAAATCACAATGGCTTGAAGATTCTGATATACAACGAAGTGAATGCTCTCACAAATTATACATACGAGAGATGTAGTTTATAAAGAAGTCTTTTGAAATTTGTAAATCATTTTACTTTTGTACTTTAAAATAATGAAATCTCTATATTCCATTATATACCAATTTATATTCCTAAAAATGATCTTAAGTTAGTACCGAAACTATGACCCGTGCAACGCACGGGTGTGATACTAGTACTTCGTAATATGTATTCTCAAAGTAAGATTTCTATGAGTTTATCTCCAAAATAAGAGTTTGTACTGTGACATTCTGATACTGTATAGTGACATCGCACCGTGTATTTTGGTATTATATACAGACGTTTTTGCTACACTAACTTCTATTTTAAGAATAAAAAATATAGAGCTTTTATTTTGATATTTTCCTATATTTTACTTCTAGTTTAGCCCTTTTTCTTTCCCTAGTTTCCATATGGAATGTACACGAAGAGTCTTATGTTTGTTATCCATTAAATAAAATAATATAGTTATGTTACCACAATTTAATAAAGTAATATAGTTGTATTAGCACCAATTTTGTAAATTTTTTACCTAGGTTTTGAATAGATAAATTTTATGGTGGACCTACATATGAGCAAATAAGCATTTCTTTAATACTTAGATAAGCATTTTTTTAGATAAAAAAATAAAAAAAATTATTTTTTGTGTGAGAAGGCATACAAAAATGATATGCATCCAAGTTGCACCATAAAA